TGGTTTGTCTGGCTGGTGTGTTGTGGGGATCGAACTACAGCAACCTGAGGCTGACAGCTTTGTGGAAGCAGCCACTTAAACAACTGAGCTAAGGCCAGGCCCCCGGGAAATTTATTTTGATAAAAAAAATATGCAGTGAAATCGTAGGGAGAAATCTTTAAAATAGCTTGAGGCTCCTTTTGACCCCTCTCCTGTTTGCCTGCCGATGCTGGCATTGAGTTTGCAGAGGATGAAGGAGGGGGCTGCCATTGCTCGCCCGGAATTGTCATGAGTTGGCCCAGGCTAAGCGGCTGCAGAGAGCTTTGTAGTTCTGCCCCCAGCCCCAGTGTGGCTCCCGGGAGGGGCTTGGACCTGGCTGTGGGAGGTTCCCCGACTGCCTGCGGCTGACAGTCCTGGGCCAGGCTAAAGGGTAATATTTCCTAGCCCATCCACATGGGGGCTGTGGGAAGCAGCCAAAGCACTACCTGCCCTCACCCCCCAGGTTGGCACTCCAATCCTTTATCAGCAGGGAGCCAGCTCCCAGCAGGATTTTGCTACCATTCACATTTCCATCCCCCACTTACTACTTTCCAGCACTGATTCTTTATCAGTATGAAGTCTAACTGCCTGTTTGGCTTTATACAAAAAATCAAATTGATCATGATTCTGACTAGTGAGATGGAGATAACTCTGTACAAATAGTTTTGAACTTATCCTGTTTAGTAGGGTGTGTGTGTGTGTGTGTGTGTGTGTGTTAGTGGGAATTGAATCAGGGCTTTGCACATACATAGAGAGTGTTCTACCACTGAGCTACATCTCCAGCCCTTCTTTTGAGACAGGATCTTGCTAAACTTGCTCAGGCTAGTGTGAAGTTTGTGTCCTCCTGCCTCAGCCTTGGAAGTAGCTGGGATTCTAGGCATATGTGCCTTCATACCCAGCTTGTAGTACACATTTAAAAATGCTGCTTTGAACCTTGACAGGAATGCTTAAGTGAGGCAGTTGGGAAAGGGCAGTCCCTCACTTTCGTTTTTTCGCAGCTCTTCTCTGCCTCCCAGTTTGACTGAGATGTGCTTGGCAAAGAAGTGTCTATATTTATGCTGTGGTCTGCAGCGTGACGTGTTGACGTGTATTTACATCGTGATGTGATCACCACAGTCCATCAAACAGTGTTTCCATAAAGACAGTGAGACAGTCTTGGGCTTTTCACCCCATGTTTGTGATTGTATTAGTCGCTGCGGAGTCACTCAGCTTTTAGGGTGACATTAGGCGAACCCATGCACTGCGCTGGGCCCTGGAGCTTTTGCCTGGCTGCCTTGGCCGGAGGGCTGGCCACTGGGCTCTTACTACTTTAGCTGTTTTCAACTTAGTTATAAAAAAAGTGCTTACGCCTCTTGCTTTTTCCTATAATCTTTCCTTTTCCTTTCTTTTCTCTCCCTTCCCCAGTCATATTAGTGAAAGAGAATAACAAGATTCATTTAGGTATGTTATATATGCATGTCACGTATTTGATTATTTTCATCCCTGTTACCTGCTCTACCTTTCTGCCCTCTTCTCCCAGTCTCCTATCTCCTTCCTTAGCTCTAAAAGTCTACCATTTTGTTTGCTGTCGCCTGGCTGGCCAGCCGGCCTGCCTGCCTGCCTTCCTTTCCTCTTCTTTTTCCTTCTTTCCTTTCCTTTTCTTCTTCTGTCCTGCCTTACCTTGCCTTCTTCTCTTCCTTTCCTTCTTTCTTTCCTCCTTCCCACCCTCCCACCTTCCCACCTTCCTTCTTTCCTGTCTGTAGGCTACTCATATAAAATATGTGCTACGTAACTCTGAGACGGACTTCTTTCATTTCACATGATGGGCCCGTTCCATCTCCACCAAAACCTTTTTTCTTTTCCAGACCAAGCCTCACTTCATATTTATTAAAGTACATGTATAATAGTTTAAAATGTAGGGTTCACATTCAGAAAACCTTTTAGATTAAGTATAAGTTTATAAGTAGAAGTATACTTTAATGATTTGTTTTGCTTTCAACAGGATTATATTAAATGAATTTATGTTTATGAACTGTTATTTAATGAACTTAGAGTTTTTGTTGGTTTGTATTACAGTATTGGGGATTGAACTGGGGGTCTTTGCTCTAGATTACATCCCTAGACCTTTTTTTTTCCTTAATTGCCCAGGCTGGGCTTGAATTTGCAGTCCTTGTGCTTTGGCTGCCCGGAGTGTTGAGATTATACACATGCACCACCATGCCCTGCTGTGAATTTAGATTTAATCTTTATCTTGCTAAGAAACTTGAATCATTTCTGATCTTTATCCCATCAGAATTAAAGATAAAGTTAAAAAAAAATCAACGGAGGAAAGGCAATTGATAATAGTTCTTTTAGTATACCCAATTCAAGCAATTAAATGAAAATTAAATGATCTTTGATTTTTAACTTTGAATCCTGACACCTAAGTCTGGCTGGAGGGTAGGGGAGCTTGGCTATGTCTGCAATACAGTCTGGTGAGCGAGGTTCGCTTCTGGTGGATGACGCAGGTGGAAGCAGTCTCCAGGGGCTGCGGGTGACCATGCTGTGGAAAGAAGGCCGCCGCACAGGGACCATGGGCAGGTGTGTACAGCTGGAGTAATCTCTGCGTCAATCTCCGTAGGACGAATAGCTTGAAGCTCGACGGTGTAAAGAAACTCTGGGGGAAGGAGGGCTACCTTCCCAAGAAGGAGAGCAAGGCTGGAGATGCACCCGAGGCCCCGCCTGTGCCTCCGGAGAGCGCTGCGGCCGAGAACCCAGACCAAGCTGGAGCAAAAAGGGACCAAGCTCAAGTCCTGGTGCAGTCGAAAGAGGAGAAAGAAAAACAGCTGCTGGCGTCCTCATTGTTTGTTGGGCTAGGAACAGAAAGTCCGATTAATTTGGTAAGTAGTTTATTCTTCCAAGAATCTGTGTCACGTTTGTGCAGAACACCAGCTTCTCTCGAAAGCTTCTTGCCGCCCTCTGCATATCTGGCGGAGAATGTCCTCCCAGCTCTTGCCTACTTTTGTGTCCCAGCCACAGAGCCACCAGTGACACCGTTTATGTCCTCCTAGGAGCAGATCTGATCAGCTAGAGTCAGCTAGGGCAGGGTCCACACAAAGTCATAGGTACAACGACAGCCTTGCACCCTCTGGGTGGGGGGCAGGTGAAGAGGTCTCCTCAGCGTTGATAGCAGCATTGGCATCGCTGTGGGAGGAGTGTGTCTCAGAATGGCTTTTTTAATAGTGAAAAATAGGTATTGATTTGTTTTGATGTGTAAAGAGAAATGGTGTGTACATTTTTATTATTCAGCCTCTAAAAATCACTACTATATTGTAAAATGAAAAATGCCTTATTAATGCATAGACTATGAAATCACAGTTATCATAGATGAACTAAAACGGTTTGATCATTTCTGTATTTGAGGGTAACTTAAACTTCTCTGGAATTTTTTTTTTTTTTTTTGTATTTTTAGGGAATACAAGGGTATTCAGGGTCTCACTACTAGATTGGACTTGTAGTGATTCTCCTGTTTACAGCCTCCCAAGTGCTGGGAGTAGGGCAGGCACCACACACCCAGTCTCAGTTGCCATCTCAGTGTGCCCCAGGGGCAGGGCTGGCATGGCAGGCCCGGGGATTGAATCCCCAGCGCCTGTGCCTGCTTGTAGGTGCTCAATCGGCTGAGCTATTTGGCTGGCCCTGGAAAATATTTTTAAAAGCTAACTTTCTCTATTTCTCACTGGTTTTATTGTTATTTATTTATTTATTTGTTTATTAAATAGGGAATTGAATTGCACTTGCCAGGCAGTTGGTGTGCACTGAGCTAAATCTTCAGCCCTCTTTCACTGTTTCTACTTTGTCTGATTCTATATTTTAGTGCTATGAAATATAGCAGGTTTTATAATTGTTCATGACTGACTTTTTTTTACCTATTTCTTTTTCTGACCTTATATTTTTAAAGAGAAATAAGATTTAGTGAATAATAAATCTGGCCCTGGAAGAGGTAGTTGTCAGAATTTGAGGGCTTACCATTTTATTCATCTCCAATTCTGTGTTAATCTTAATAGATGGAATTTTAGCAAGTTGCTAAATTGCTCATTTGAAAAGAACGTTTAAAACTCATGACTAGCAAAATAATTTTTTTCTATTTTTATGTCTTATTTTTATAGCTAGGCAAAGCAGACACCGTCTCTCACAAGTTCAGAAGAAAATCCAAAGCCAAGGAGGCCAGGAGTGGAGATGTAGCCAGCGCCCAGAATCTGACCTGTTCCTCCCTTAGTTCTCTGTCCAGCGCAACCTACAAAGGAAACGACTGCTTGGCTACTGTGCAGGGCAGAGCAAGCGCAGAAGCAAAGGAGCTTCCTCTCGGCCCAGAACTTTTGGATCCAGAGTGTCTCCCGGAGCTGCCTCTGGTTGGGAAGCTCTCCGACGGCAACCTGTCTGTGCCTCCTTTGTTTGCTGATAGCGACATGGAAGTTTTTCACCCTCCTCTGTCTGCTGTAGCTGCTGCACCTGCTGCAGCTCCAGGGACTGCAGAGATCACCTTAGCCGCTTCCTTTTTGGAAGACACTGCTGAGGACACGTGCTCTGGTGGTGTGGAGGTCTGTGGTGATGAGACTGTGACCGTGTCTTCTTACAAACTCTGGCAGGACGATGGCTTTCTGATGGGCTGGTTAGTTGCCGCTGAGAGTGGCTCCGAGTTGCAGAGTGCAAACTTAGACATTTTTCCTGCAGAAAATTTCAAGGTAAGGTTTTCAATGAATAGGTTTTCATTTTAGCTTCTTTTTGTATTTAGGACAGGGTGTATAGGGGTGTACACTGCATAGATTGGACTCGTAGTGATCCTCCTGGTTACAGCCTCCCAAGAGCTGGGATTACAGGTGCGCGCCACCATGCCCAGTCTCACTTGCTGTCTCAGCATGCCCAAGGGGCAGGGCCGGCACAGCAGGCCCAGGGATTGAACCCCTGACCCCTGCGTCTGCCTAAGCAGGCGCTTTAATCCACTGAGCTATTTGGCTGGCCCTTGTTTCTGCTTTTGAGTGGACAGTGGTACTAAGTGTTTCTGCTGTTGGCTCTTCTGATCATTTAGAAGTTTCTCGTATCTTTCTTACCTTTTTAAATAAAATTTTTGTTATTGTAAGTAGAGAAAATTATTTAAAAGAGACCATCAAACACAGTAGCACTTGTCCTGGGGGAGGTTGATCGTGAGCTTCAGAGGAGCACAGTACAGAACTAGGCGCTTGGCTCTCCCTGCTGCCCGCCTCCTGAGCTGAGTTACATGCTGAAGATACTTAACTGCGGTGCGCCTCAGTTTCCTCTTGTTTAAATGGCAACGTTGATAGTGTGCCTGTTATAGTGAGGTTTAAGAGTTAATATCTGCGAGATTCTTCTAGCAGTACATGGTATGAGACAACTGTTGTTTTACTGCTATTTTGGTGTGTATTTTGCATTCTCTCTTCCTGCCCTCTTTAAATGTCTTGTACTCTTATCGTGGCCACTGAAACTAAATTCTCAAATTGTTTAACAAACCCACTTGGCACACCAGGGCGTGGGACTGCTGAAGGACAAATGTGTGCCCTGTCCACTGGCTCCTCTTGCATTGCTTTAGTGCTCTGACAGGTGCTCGGATGCGTTCTCTTTGCTCCCTGCCTGCAAGGGCTACCATTTCTGGAGGTGTGTCTGCCTGCACTGTTGCCTGGATGGCCTTGGTTGAGTATGTGACCAGCACACCTGTGTTCCATAAGACTGACACTAAACGATCACATTTTCTCTGGGAATTTAAAAATTAAGGCAAAGTCAACCCAATTGCCTGACCTTCGGCACCAACGCTTGAGTGAGGCCAGACAGTGGGAGCGCAGGACGCCTGTACTGTTACTGTGCTTTAAACTCTGCTGACTTCAAATCTGGTGCAGGGGCTGGGGCTACAGCTCAGTGGTCCAGTGCTTGCCCAGCATGCCTGGTGCCCTGGGTTGCATCTCCAGCACCACACACACACACACACACACACACACACACACACCCTTGTGCCAACCAAGATCAAGAGCCACCAGATGAGAATTTAATAATCTTAGGAAAACAACAAATCTGTACATAGGCTATAACTGTAATGCCATTTGAACAGTTTTGGCTTGTATCATATTTATTAATTATGTGTGCTAGTGGATTTTTTGTTGGTTATCTTCATAACGCCCTTTAATGGCTTCTCAGGTTGATGTGATTTTGCACCACTTCATTAAATAAGAAACTGGTATTCGTGTTAGAGTGTATTGCTCCTTCCTTCAGTACCTTTGTGACTTTTCTTTCCAGGTCAGTGAGCGGCCCGGATGCTGTTTGCCTGTGACCGAAGCAGGAAGCAGCAGATGGTTTCAGTACAGCCTGCAGCTGGAAAGACCTTTCACAGAAGAGGCTCTCTCTGGGGCTGTCCGATACCAGCTGGTGGATACCCAGGCTGGTCAGCTGGGATTTTCTGTGAGCTTATCGCTATTAGACTTCGTGAGGTAATTATTTTTGGCATATTAATTTTATCATTATTTTAGCAGATATTAATTAAGCTTTTCTCAAGACAGAGGCAGTCTACTGGGTGCTAAGATATGTAACAGTTAAATCTTAATTTCTGCCTTCAGAGAGCCTCCAGGCCAGGCAGGAGACCTTGAACGATCACATTAAATACACATATAATTAGGAATTGTGCTGTGAGGAGGAGGGGAGTGGTACAGCGAGATACTATATCGTGAGGCCTGGTTAGGCTGAGGTGGATGGTGACCTGCAGAAACTTCTGAAAGCAGTACTTCAGTATTTGAGGAAGTGAGACGACGTCAGAGGTTCTGCAGGTCCTTTGAAGCTCTTAGTTTCCTTTGTGTTTTGTTTTATTTTATTCACAAATTCTATTAAGCACCTAGATATGTAAGAAAATTACTTAAAATTGTTATTAAATTTTATTAAATGTACACTATTTAGCATATTAGACACTGTAGTGTTAACCAAAATAATTGCAAACAATGTTTGTTTGTTTGGTTTTTTTTTTTTTTTTACCTCTTTTCATTTACTTTTAAAATTGTATAGTACTATATGTGAGCAGTTTTTAAAACAGAGGCTGCCTAAGCCCGGGGAGCAAACAGCCACGAATACTTGCAGTCTTTTTCTGTCGAGGCCACTAAGGTTTCACTACTAGGAGTTTTACCTGGTCTCTGAGCTCTTCTAGTAAAAGCCTGTCTGTCGTGCTGTCAGCAGTGTTTGTGCCTGCTGTCCTGTTCATCTGAATGTCAGCAGTCCTGGACTCCGTCCTCTGAAGGCCTGCTCCGGGGCGAGCGTTAGTGATCTGAGGAGACCCTCATGTGCAGCACAGACCGTTGCTTTGCGCGCGATATTGAAATCCTCTGTGTCTTTAAAATACTTTTTCTTGATAATGAAATCAGTATATAGTTATAAAAATTCAAATGCTGTAGAAAAATGTCAGTAGAGTGGCAAATTTCCCTATAATTCCACCCCTAGAGGTACCCAGGGTTAGCTTTTTGATCTTTAGTCTCCTATTTTTATTTTCATTTATTTATCTATTTATTTATTTATTTATTTATTTTTTTTTGTGTGTGTGTGTGTGGCCAGCTCAGCCCACCAGGGGGCAGGGCTGGCTGGCATGTGGTGCTGGGGGATTGAACCGCGGTGCCTGTGCTTTGCTAAGCTTGTTCTAAGTAGGTGCTTTAGACCACTGAGCCATCTCGCCAGCCCAAGTCTCCTATTTTTAAAATACTGTATATTTGTTAAAATTTTCTCAGTATAATTTATCTAAGGTGCTGGGTCTTTTCTTCATACTCTTTTACATGACTTTGATAGAAAAAATTTCATCCTCAAATCTAAAGTATACATGAGGGGGCTGGTGAGATGGCTCAGTGGCCTAAAGCACCTACTTAGAACAAGCTAAGCCAAGCAAAGCACAGGGACCGCGGTTCAATCCCCCAGCACCACATGCAGCCAGCCCCGCCCCCTGGTGGGCGGAGCTGGCCACACATACATACAAAATAAATAAATAAATAATAAATAAATAAATAAATAAAGTATACATGAAAGAAAAGTTTTGTATTACGTTTGAATGATTCATGATACTGCTTGGTAAAATCTTACTGGAATGACCAACACCCAGAAAGAGAGAACCTAGTGATTTATTGAGAAGTCAAATAGCAATTTAATCTTAGCTCCTGCTTTCACTATTTAAATCAGGTTGGAATATGACAATATTCTAATCACATTTGGTTGCAAATAATAAACTTGGTGGTATCTATATTTATAGCAATTATATTTTATTTCCACAAGTCATTAGAAGTGTGTTTGTTGAGAATTACTTTATGCTTATGGATATAAATCTAATTTTAAAAATTATTTTCAGGCCATTAAAGATCTCAACTGAAGACTTTGGTAAACTGTGGTTATCCTTTGCGAATGATGTGAAGCAAAATATAAAAATGTCAGAACCTCAAGCTGCTCTGCCTTCTGCCCTAAAAACACTACAGCAAAAACTGAGGCTTCATGTGGTTGACGTTCGAGGTTGGTGACTTTCTGCAGAGGCACCCTGTGTCCTGGGCGCTTCGCCCTGGGCACCTCCTCCCTGTAAAGCGCAGAGCAGGCCTCAGGCGTGTTCTTTAGAATGCAGCTTCCTGTGATGAATGTCCCAGATGAGTGGGCTTTTCTGACCATATTAAGTAATTTTTTTAATTGAGTCCATGTGACATAGAAAAATATCATTGTAATTTATTTATTTATTTGTTTATATTTAGTTTAGGGTTTACAGGGTCTCACTACATGGATCCGGCTTGTGGTGATCCTCCTGTTCTCAGCCTTGCAAGTGCTGGGATTACAGGCACACACCACCACCCTTGGTCTCAGGTGCATCTCAGTGTGCCCCAGGGGTGGGGTCGGCACACCAGGAATCAAACCCCAGTCACTGTGTCTGCCTAAACAGGTGTTTTAATCTGCTGTGCCATCTGCCGGCCCTTGTAACTACTTTAAAGATAGTGACATTAAGTACATTCACATGGTGCTATCGTCCCCACCAGAGCTTTCCATCTTCCCCGACTCAAACTCTTAATCTTTTAAAAGCTAACTCCCCACGTCCCCTTTTCCTCTGTGCCTCGCAAGCACCATTCTGCTTTTTGTCTCTGTGTCACTGTAGGTACCTTGCATCAGCAGAGTCACTCAGTATCTGTCCTTTCCAGTCAGGCTAATTTCACTCAGCATAATGTCTTCAAGGCTATCCCCATTGCACTGTGTGTCACTTTCTTCTTCAATCTAAATATTCCACTCTAAGAATAACTACCTTTTTAAAAAAAATCATTACTTACTTTATTTGTTTGGTACAGTGTCCCACTATGCAGCTCGGGCTTGTAGTGATCCACCTGTCTCAGCCTTAGCCCTCCCCAGTGCTGGGATTACAGGCGTGTGGCACTGTGCCTGGTTCAGTGGCTGGCACAGCGCGTCCAGGGTCTCGGGGCCAGCACAACATGTGGTACCGGGGACGGAACCTGGGTTCTTGGGCTTGCCAGGCAGGCGCTTAGACTGTCGAGCTATCTCTGCAGCCCACGACTACCCTTTGATCATCCATTTATCTGTGGTGGACACTTGGGCTTCTTTACTTTTTGTCTCTGGTATAATGCTATTGTGAACATGGATGTGACATATCCATTTGCACCCTGCTTTCGGTTCTTTTGGTTGTATACTCACTTGGACTTACTGGATCATATGTTAACTCCTTATTTAATTTTTTGAGAAATCACCATATCATTTTCATAGCAACTAGATTTTACATTGTCATGAGCAATATTCAAGGGTTGCAGGTTCCTCACATCTTTGTCAGCTTTTTGGGGAATGGCCTTACTAGTGGGAGTAAAGTGCAGCTCACTGTAGGTTTGATTTGCATTTCGCTCGTAGCAGTGTTATGTGCTTATTGGCCATTTGTGTGTCTTCCTGGAGAAATGCCCATTGAAGTCCTTCTGTATTTCTTTTAAAGGCCATTTGTCAGTCTAATAAAAGCATTTATGACAGCTATTCCCAATATCATTTATTCATTTATTTATTTATTTATTTATTTATTTATTTATTTATTTATGTGACTGGCTCAGCCTATCCTGGGGGCGGGACTGGTGCAGCATGTGGTGCCTGGGGTTGAACCACAGTCCCTGCATATCTGCCTAAGCTTGCCTAAGCTGGTGCTTTAGACCGCTGAGCTCTCTCTCTAGCCCCAAGTCCTTCTGTACTGAAGTTTTCATTTTTGTTTTACTACAGGTGATGAAGGGCTGCTGGCCTGCCGGCTGCCCCCGTCCACCTCCTGCCTACTGCACTGCCGCGCTCATGCTGATGGGTTAGCGCTGTGGCTCAGGTCCTCCTGCCCTGCTCTTCCGGACTGCCTGTCGTATCAGTGTCACAAGGCGCTGGAGGGGTCCTAGCAGAGCCTGCCGGGATTTGTCCACATTTGTTTACACAGATCAACTCATTTACCAAAGTTAGAGAACTCATGGTACTTCTCGTAAAAATGGGGATTATTACAAATTGTGACTTAATGTACTTTCTTTTAGATTCTTGGTCAAGAACAATCCCCAGGAAAGTTTATCCCTACGCTTTTACTCAGGATTGTACAGTATGTTTGGGTCCACAAAAGTGACCTAAGCTAAATGTTATAAAATAATTTATATTAGCATAAAGTGTAGAGGTACTTATATAGGAGTACTTTAGTATAGAGGTAATGAAAATATCTATTTTGTTATAATAATTTTATAGCAAGTTTGCTTTAGTACTAGCTAATTTTTAATAACGACAAGATTCAGTTCTCTGTGTTAATGAAGTGGAGACATGAAATTGATAATCCCAAACCTCGATACTTCTTGGCTTTGAGTGCAGTGTGTTGTGGTAGGTAAGTCGGTCCTTTCAGTGACGTTTTGCGGGATGACTATTGACCTACGTTGGCACAGCACACGTGAGCAGTTGTAGGACGTCCACAGGCATGCTGGGCCTGGGGAGGTTCAATCTGTGCTGTTTTCACTGTGGACAATTTCTTACACATAATTCCAGATAATTTGGCTGTAAAATTTACCTGTTTTCTCTTTTTAAAACTTAAAATGAATCACTGTATTCTTATTTAAACTAGAACATTTGCAACATACTTCTGTATAGAAACAGGCCCCCTGAGAAAGCACACAAATAAAAAAGGGCTTTTGGTGTGACCGCTATCTCAGCCAGTTAGCACTTAGGTTGTGGGGCCACTCGAAATGTGGTCCTAGCGTCTAAATGCGCAGCCTGTCTTCCCTGGTCCGGGAGTCTGTCCTCACTCAGTGCACCCAGCCGGAGCAGCAGCCAGCCACATGTGTGCGGGCTCTGCAGCACACCTGCTGCTGTGTCTGCGCGGCCTCTGTCAGCATCATGGTCGGTAAGAGAAGAGGTTATGGCTAACCTGAGCAGTGGACCAAACTCTGAAGATTTTACCTTAACTAGTACAGTATTTTATAAAACCTTATGGTGCTGCCCACAGTAGTCCTTATTTTATCTTTTTCTGCTGTCACCATGGAGACAGGTGGGGTATCCCGTGGGACGTCATGTACTCGGCGCTGGTAGGTCAGCGCTGCTGTTCACCCGAGTTCTGCTTCTGGATCCCGCCTCGCTCCTGCCTGATGCCAGCCTAGGGGCCCCTGGGTGTCAGGCATGTGCAGAACACAAGTAGAAGGCTTGTTTTTTGGGTTAATTTTTAAATTATTTAAAAAATGTAGTGTTTTGTTAATTTTTCTCCTACAAACATGCAGAGAAACCTTGCTGAAATTGTGGCATGTGGCTGGATCTCCTGGTGACTCGGGAGGTTGGGCTTGGGCTGAGTCCCTGCGGCAGTGTGGAGGGCCTGCTGACCCTGCACAGCTGGCTTCTCCACCTCCCGCATGCCTGCCTGTCTGGTGTCCCCTGCATTGCCCGACCCTGCAGTCCTCTGAAGGCAGAGAGGGCAGGCTTGTGCTCAGTGGTGTGGACGGTGTCTGGTGCCCCGAGGCCAGGTCAGATACGGGTGGCGTGGAGCTATGAGGGGCCACAGGGCAAGCTCGTGAGTGGCAGCAACAGGTGGCATGAGACACAGCTGGCGCGCAGAGCTGTCCAGTGGTGGGAGTGTGCATTGGTGCCAGGTGTAGAGCCAGGAGCACAGTTCTGGGTTGGCCACAGAGAACGTGCATTCACTTTGGCCATCTCTGAACCCACTAATCAAAAGTAGGGTACCAGGATACTATTGAAATGTTTCATAGAGTATTTATAATTTTTATATTTTTATGATATTTAGAAGCAAGTATTCGAGAATAGATGCAAAAGAACTCTAGGTCAGTCTGTGGTCTGCCTAGTCTCACCAAATGTGTTATGTTCTAATAGACATCGTGGGCCTGTTCTGGGTCACAGGGGTCCTGGGGGAGGTGGCGGCCTGTGGACAGACAGGTGGACAGTCTCGGTCTCCTCCTGGCCATCTCAGTCAGGGATGCTCAGCTGGGTGAATTTTGTGCCAGGTGTCTTTGCTGAGTGTAGAACTGTGGAGGAACAGGACCATGGGAGAGCTGTAGGAGCAGGCGGAGGAGGTGTCAGTGCCCCCCAGAGTGGTCCCAGGTGGCGCAGGGGCTGAAAGAGGCCCTTAGTGCCTGCTGGAGAGGCTGCCTGGGAGGGCCGAGCTGCGGCCCAGCCGAGCGTCCGAGGGTGCGCAGGACGCCAGGGAGCTCCTTCAGCAGTACGATGCTGTCAGCTGCCACAACAGGTGTGGAAAAAGTACAGCGTTTTTTAAAATGTCATTTCAATAATTTTTTCAAATGTTGATGTACTTGTCTTTTTTATGGACACAAAAATGGTGTTTGTGTCACGATTGTGAGCCTGAGACAGTGCACTGAAGTCATACCGTGTCTTAAGGTGTTGTGCTGTGTTAAAATGTTAGAAAAAAATGCAACCAAGCGACACTTTAACAGGCATTTATTACCTTACTTGGAAGTTGAATTCTGTAATTTGAATATGTTCAGTTAAGCATATAATAAATACAGTGATCTGTACTTTTCTTTGGTCTATATGTTCTTTATTATTTAAGTAGCTGAATACTTAGCAGTCATAATTGATACTGGGATTACAGGCATGCACCACTAAGCCCAGCTAGCATGCCAGTTCCCTGTGACGGAACTTTGTGGTCTTCACATTTTTACCTGCAGATGATGAAGCAGGGCAGTCTGAGACTTGTGTTCCCGTAATGCCTCTCTGCATGCCTTGTGATGCAAGAACCGCAGTAAGTCACATAGAAACTGAGTGACCAAAGCTCCCAGTGTCCCGGCTGTCACTTTGTTGTGCATCTTGGAACACATAGCTAGGTCAGAAGCAGCCTCAGCCCCACTGCTGTGCACCTCTCCCTGGCTGCAGTCTATAGCAGGAGAACGGTTCTGATGAGTTAAGCCTTTCACTTAACTCATCAGTGAAAGGCTTAACTCATCAGACCCACCATAGCAAATGGAAAGAAAGGGGCCTGGGGAGGAGGGTTTGCCCTCAGAGGGCCAGCACTAATGACTGTCCCATAGTTATTCCCTAGTATGCTTCCAAAAGGAGAGGTAGAGCTGCTTAGGGTTAGGAGCCAAGTGTGAGACTGTGTGGGTAGGGCTTTTACAAGGGTACCCGTCCTGGCCTGTGGTGTGGTGCAGAATGTTTTCACTGCCTTGAAAACACTCCACGTTGTGCTTATGAATCTCCTCCACTGATTTTTTTTTTTACTGTTTCCATAGTTTTGCCTTTTGCACATAGCATATCATTGGAGTCATATAGGATATAGCCTTTTCAAATTGTCTTTCACTTATAGAATGTGCTTAGGTTCCTTCCATGTTTGTTCATGGCTTGATAGTTCCTCTTTTTAATACTGGAAGTTACATTGTCTAGGTATACCACAGCCTTTTTATCCATTTATCTGTAGGGAGCGCTTTTGGTTGCTTCCACTTTTTGGCAGTTTTGAATAGAGCTGCTACAGAAGTGGATGTCTAGTTTCTATGTGGGTGTGCCAACTTCCTGGGGAAGTGCTAAGGAACATGGCGGCTGCATGTATGCTGAGAATGTGTTCAGTTTTGCAAGATGTTGCCAGACTCCTTCCATAGTGTCTGCACCATTTTGCATTCCCTCCCCTGCCACCCTGCAAGAGTGTTGCTCTGTGTCTTTACCAGCACTTGGTAGTGTCGTGCTCTGGCTTTTGGCCATTCTAAGTGTTCATAGGCCATCTTATTTTGTGTTTCCTTTATAATATATGGTGTCACATAACTGTTTAGTGCCAATTTATGACCTATCTTGTGTGTTATCTCCTAGGTTGTCTTCTGGGAGCTTTACAGCTCTGGGTTTGTGTCTGTGGCCCATTTGGAGGTAATTATTGTGACGGGTGTAAGGTCTATGTCTAGGTTTGTTTTGCTTTTGACACATGGACGGCCAGTTGACCCTACACTGATCTCATTTGCTTATTAAAATCATTTGGCTGCACTTATGTTGGTCTCTTTTGGGTCTCTTTTCTGTCTCACTGCCTTGCATACCTATCCTGAAATCTATTTAATCATACTTGGAAAAAAATATATATATGTATGTAATTTATATATTGGCTAACACATACATATTGTTGGACTAGACTGGCTGTGTTCCTAAGAGCTGTGGATCTTTTCTTACAGTGTCTTTCTTTGGTTTCGGTGTTAGATAATGCTGGCCTCATATAATAAGTCATGAGCTTGTCCCTCTGCTCTTACCTGGTATAATTTCTTCCTATGTTTGATAGAATTCATCTGTGAACCCATCTGGTACTTTCTGTTTTGGAAGTTCATTAGTTACTGATTCAGTCTCTTTAATAGATATAGGCCCATTTGGATTGTTTCTATTTCTGTGAGTTTGGCAGATTGTATCTTTCAAGGAATTGGTTCGTTTTCATCTAGGCCTGAGTTGTTCATCTTATTCCTTTATGACCCTTTTAATGTATATGGGATCTGTAGTGTTAGGTATAATTTGTGTCTTTTCTTTTTCTTTTTAAAATTTTATTTTATGTATTTTGTACAGATTCTCACTACACAGCTTGGACTTAATAGTGATCCTCCTGTTTTCAGCCTCCCTAGTGCTGGGATCACAGGCATGTGCCACGGCTTAGCATACCCAGGGGTGGGGTGGGTATGGCATGGCATTTAGTACCAGGGATTGAACCCTGGCCCCTGTGCTTGCCTAAGCAGGCACTTAGTCCACTGAGCTATCTTGCCAGCCCCTTCTCTTTTATTTATTTATTTATGCAGGACCCTGCACTTGCCAGGATTGAACTCAGTACCCTGCACTTGCCAGGTAAGCGCTTATGCCACTGAGCTATCTCCCCGCCCCCCTTCTCTTTTTCTTAACCATATATTTTTTTTTCATGGTTGTTGTTTTTATTTTTTGAGACAGGGTCTAGCTGTACAGTTCAGGCTGGCCTTGAACTGTATAGCCCAGTTAGCCTCCAACTCATGACAGTGCTCCCACCTCAGCCTCTCCAGAGCTGGGATTACAGGCACACCTGGATCGTGGCCACTTTTCTGTCCTCTTCGCTTACTTAGTAAGCATTCAGTGTTATTGAAGGAATGGCTAGCAAGACCTTTCTAGTCAAAACAGGTGATTGTGGGCCGGTAATATTCAGGGATTGCTACTAGTAGTCTACTTATCGTGCCGTCCCCAAAAGTACAGGAGAGCGGTCTGGTTCTTGATCTGAGACAGTGGCACGGGGCTCTAGTGAAGTAGCCTGTGATTGTCTGCCATGTGGGAGAACAGCAAGACTGCCTGGCGGGCCCTTGCCAGCCTACAACCTGATGACGTCCACGCCACTCCAGAGGTCTCTGGCAAATTCAGTGTGATGAGAGGAACTGACTGAAGGACGGGCTTTTCTGTGTGACTGTAGGCGTCTGCAGATTTACTGATCTAAAGGAGCGTGTTCTTGGCTAGAAAGCAGTGAACATCTGACCAAGCCTTTAAAGACAGGGAGCCAGTGAATGTGCTAAAACAGATGTACTGACAAAAGCGTCCTCACCTATTTCCTTTAGAAGTGAGCTCTGTGGTAACGGGAGGGACAGACGTGGAGCAGTAAGGTCAGTAGCTTGGGAGCAGTTAGCGAAGCGCAGGCCCTGGGTCCAAGCCCCAGGAAGGAGTTGCTCTAAAGGAAATGTGTATTCATCACAGGGGAAAAGCCTTAACAGCAACTGTGCTGGGGTTTGAGCCAGAGCCCCCCCCCACCACCCTACCGCCCTTTTCATTATGCCTCAGGATCTGGGCCAATTGCTCTGGCTGGCCTCAAACTTGTGATCCTCGGGCCTTAGCCCCAGAGTGCTGGGATTATGGGCGTGGGTTGCTGTGTTGGCAGGAAACTTACGGCATCCTAGGCTGGAAAGCACCCAAAAGGTGCAGCTCAGGGGACCCTGACAACAAAGACTGTGGCCTGGAAACCGAGCAAAGGTGGGCCTGTGTCTGGGCAAGTGTGGATGCCGTGGAGCACCGTGAGTGCTCTGGAGTGCCGTGAGCGATGAGAACACAGTGGACTCTTGTAGGTGGCCAGGCTGTCGGCTTCTTTCCAAGGAAGGGAACCAACTTCCTCATTATTTTAAACTATTTTTCTAAGTGGATGAGTTCTTTTCCTCTCCCAAAACATTAAATTGCCAAGGCCACGAAAGTGGCTGACCTCAGGATGTTTTTCTCTGAGACTCTGGCAGGACATGTGCTAGCTGGATTTTTCAGAGAGAAAAGTGCTTAGAAATCACTTTAAGTGTACATCTCTCCCACCCACGATATTGTGCGGTAAGTGGGAGGCGTTGGGTCTGCCTGGCTGCCACATACCTAGTGAAGCTAAGGACAAAGCCAGTCCCTTGATCAGGCTGGCTCCTGTGCTGCTCATGACACATAGCAAGCTTTAAAGGCTTATTGTCCGAAATCTTAGTTGACTGATAGTGGTTCATGAGGTTTAGGAGAATAATTATGGTGAGTTATGGGACAGATGAAATGAGTTGACCCCAAATATGGACTTGTCTTCATCTGTAGCATAGAATGTATGTAGCGTGGAATCCTGACATACCTAGGTTTTCACAAATAAAACCATTTGTACTGAGTTTCTCAAACATGGCTTTGTTAAAAATCATGAGGACTTTGAATGCCGCTTACTTTTCCTGTGATAGCTGTTGCCATGAATAGAAGTAGCCTGATTAGAAATGCCTAAATCACAGTAATTTTTTTTGGTGGAACTGGGGATTGAACTCAGGCCCTTTCGCTTGCCATGGAAGCGCTTATTCCACAGAGCCATCTCCCCGGCCCCATAAATCACAATGATTTTGTAAACATTTCTATTATGAAAAGTTTAGATAAAAGTAAACAGTAATAAAATGAACCCTGTATGCCTTATCCACCTTCCATAGCTTCCAGCGTTTTGCCATTCTTAGCTCTACCTCCTCTTCCGCTGTCTTCTGTCTTCACTGCTAAGCCACGATACCCACAGCTTAAAGGAGGAGAGGTTTATTTTGGCTCATGGCTTTCAGAGATTTCAGTCCATGGTCGACAGGCACCAGGGGCAGTGGAAGCGCCTAGCATGAAGGAAGGCTGCTCACCTTTTTGGTGACCCGGAAGCAGGGAGCAGGGAGGGACAGGGGGGATGTGCCCTTCCTGGCCACGCCCCCAGTGACAGCCTCTTCTGACCAGGCCCCACCTCATCGCAGCAAGTCACCTACAGCATCTCCCTCCTTCATAATCCAAACACTAGACTTTTGTGACTCTTATATCCAGACCATAATACTTCCTTATCCCTAGGTTTGTTTTTTTTTTTTTTTTTAGTTTATTTGTATACATTTGTCTTGGTTGCTTTTCTTTCATTGTTGGATAAAATACCTGATGCCCAGAATTAAGGAAAGGAAGGTTTATTTAGCTCACAGTTAGTAGAAGTTTCAGTCCATACTGGCCCCAGGCAAAGGGGCACATGGCAGAGGTCAGCAGTTCATGGAGGTAGAAAAGAAAATCAGCAAGAGCAGGAAGGGGGAGCTGTGGGAGCCGA